TGAAAAGTACAAAAACTGGGAACATAATTAATAAAGAACATTTTAACGTGGTTTTGGGGGATTATTATGTAATACAAAGCCAGTCATTTTAAGTAGGTGTCCTTGTGTCGCATGGTGTACTCTGCCCATGCTGTTGCATACCCTTCAGGATCCTAGATGGGCTCACTTGTGGTGAAATAATGTATGCGTACGATTAAATTGCAAACCATTATGTGACATTATTTATTATGCTAAGGCTGCACATAGGAAATCATGTGTTTAAAAGAAAAATTGAGAAAGAAAATTACATTTTTCAAAAATGAAAGCTAGCATTTGTACCCACAGTATGCGAAAAATGTTCCAATATTTTGTATTCACATTGTAAGTATTCGTGTTCCAGGGTATGTTCCTTTTTTAGGCCATGTTCATAGTGGGATTAATTGGCAATCATAATTCACCCTCATTAAAAGCCTTTTTCTGTTTCTGATCAAAGTCTTTTTATTTGCATTCAAATGATGCATCCCACAGCATTAAATTCACCTCTTCGCAGTGTTCTTGATGACATGTCCAATGTTCGGTTCCTAAAATATTCCTGTATTTAAAGTGTGGAGCTTCCTGTATAATCAGGGGAATTGGGGAAGATGTGGGGAGGGTTTCCCCACTAACTCAGATAATTGATATATGTTAAAATGATAGTGCTAGATGATCATGGCTATCTTTCCTTCTAAAGGAAAAAAATAAGTTTTATTGATCTTGCTTTGCACTCTGCGTATTTTGGATTTTTTTTCTAGCTATCTTATTGTGAGTTTGTAGGGTTTGAAGAAACGTATCACTTAATTTCTGTTCTTAAAATCTATTTTTTGTTGGATAACAGAAGTAATATAGTACATTCTGATTTAAAACTAGGCAGTTATTTGTATTTTTTCTCTTCAATCTTGTCCAACTCTGAACAGAACTTTGCAACGAGGCGTAGGGCTTCTTAAACTGCCAGTACTGTCCAAGAAATTCAAACCTCTCTGCTTTCAGGAATTTAGATTAATGACATAAAGGGGTCACGGGATTTATTACTTCTTTTTTTTCTTTTCTTTCTTTTTTATTGTTTAACATGTTTTGTTTTGACCATTCGTTTTGGCACTGAATTTTTTTAACTTTTCTACCTATGAGATGTTTATACTGGATGGGCTGAATCCTTGGTTCTCTGGAATGTTCTTTTTAAACTTGAAAAAAATATTTAAAGTTCCAAATAATGGGTATTCATATTACCTGGAAAGGAAACCAGAAATTTACATTGGAATTAAATTAGTTTGCTTTCTGATAATCTGTTTGGTAATGTGTTCATGGTGTAAGATTTGATAAAGTCTGAGTAAAAATGTTGCCATTTTAATAGTAAAGCTCAGCCACAGGTGGAGAAGTTCTTCACTAAATACTGATTAGGTTTGTTTTCAAGGAATATTTGATTTTCCTGACCTTTTATGTCATTCTAATTTCATGTTATTTGAATTAAAATGTCATCTTTTTTTATAGTACCTAAAATAGACTTTATTAGTTTTCCTGAAAGCTATGTGCAGCTTTGCTTTGGCCCATTTAAATATTGAAAACAGCAGGATTTGAGATTTTTCTTATAATCCTCAACTAATAGAGTTTAATGCTTTGTTTGGCCTACCCTACACAGCCTAAGCAAAAGTTTTAAACAAGATTAAAAATGTGACCTTATTAACCCATGGCATCTAAAGATGCAGAACAGGCCTGCAGAGACATCGGTCGGTCGTTAGCCAGGATAGCATGGTGCCGTTCCCAATCTGCTCAGTCTGCTCCAGAGGAAAACATTTTGGGAGCCCAGCTTTTATAGTTTTGGCCACCGTGCCAGCACCCGAAAATACGAAAGAAACAGATTCTTGCTTTTTTTCTAAGTCGAATATTCAGTCTTCCTGGCTTGGGAAAATGAAGTTCAATTACTTTTGGAGATTTGAGGTGCAACCTGGCTGGGATTTCTCGAAAACAATTCTGGCAGAGCGCAGGGACAGCAGAGGTGGGGCTTGGCTTTTGGTTACTGCACTTCGTAATCCCTGAATAAAATGAGTTTCACCTTTCTTTTTTTGAAGAGAAGTTCCAGTTGTCTGTAAGCTGTTGGATGGGTGATTGATGAACATGTTGAGTTCCAGAAGAATAAAGTATCTCATTGTCACGGAAAATTTATGCTTAGTAAACATTACAAAACACAAAATGGCATGATACCTTCATTGCTGTGTAATAAGATTCCTTGTTTACTGGGCATGCTATAGGGCCATGGCAACAAAACCAGAAATAGGAACTATGAGTATTCTTCTTGTAAAGATGATGACGGTTATCGAGCAGTTTGTTAATTGCTGGAGTTTTACAGCACTCCATATTCATTATCGCTCCGCGGTGCTGCTCGTAGCGTGAGGATCAGTGAAGAGGTGTAAATGTGAAAGTTTGACCAAAACCTGTAATAAAAATAACGTGGTTTATGGTATGGTATGGAAGAGTCACGTAAATGTGCACTTAGCTGATGCTTTGAGACAGTTGTTATCCGTAAGTGTTCCAGGGGAGAGAAAAAAAAAAAAAAATCAGAAGACTTCGTAAACTTCTGTCTTTCAAATGATGTTCCAAAACAAAGCAAAATGACTGAGTAGCATTTCTTAACTTAATCCTTTAAAAATACTGGTATCTTACTTAAGTTTCCGCATATCAGTTGCCCTTTTGATCTTAATGGGGCGGAATCTGGATACAGGTTCATCAAGTTCAAGACCCAGCTGAAAACTGGAGGCAAAATCAAGCCAGACAAATTGCTTACACTGTCACTGATAAACATTTCCTGCTTTATTACCGTTATTTACATTTTTTTAATAAAGGAACATCATTTTTAAAAAACAGAAAGTGGCTGATGTGTTTGCCACCATGTGTGTACTAACTGAAGAATACAGTGTTTGTACACTTACCGTAAGTCGTGGTTTGTGGGGCGGAGAGTTTCTTAAGACCTGGGGCAATAGAAAGCATTGACGATGGGAAGGAAGAGGGTGAAAAAGCCTCAGTTCTTCCTCTCTTTTCCTGTCTTATTTATTTTCCTTAGTTCAGTGCTTTTGCCCTTCCCTGGCTCACTGCCTTGTTCCCATCAGTGGTGCCAAATCCCTAAAGCAAAAAGCCTGGTTGCCCTGTGCCAGGGCAGGTTTAGGTTGGACATTAGGAAAAACTTCTTCACCAGAAGGGTTGCCAGGCTCTGGAATGGGCTGCCCGGGGAGGTGGTTGAGTCCTTATCCCTGGAGGTATTTAAAAGAAGGAGAGATGAGGTGCTTAGGGACATGGTTTAGTGGTGGGATGGCAGGGCTAGGTTAAAGGTGACCTTAAAGGTCTTTTCCAACCAAAGTTGATTCTATGATTCTATGATAGTTTTGCAAATATATGCAGTGAGGAGGAGCTGATGTTCAGGGATAACTGTGGTTCTGTCTGGTGGAGTTCTGCTGCTGATTCAGCCATGTTCTCCACACAGCGAAGTCATCCTGAATGAGAGGATTTGATGCTGCTGTTCGCTTTCCATCTGTAAGAGCAGCACTTGCATTACAATCATGCTTTCACAACTGTAGAATGTATAGCAAGATCCTCCACGTCTGTATCTAAGAGGCAGCATAACATGCGGCTGGCGCGGTGATGTTTTCCTTGACCCCATCTTTTACAAAAATTGCATTAATCTTTCATTTGATAACCAAAATTCCCACCACTCTTGGTTGTGTGTCTCTGCCTTTTGATTTAAGCTGTGCTTTTTTTTTTTTTTTCTGCTGTTGTTCTGCATTCTTGATTGGTGAATGTGCTTTCAGTTTCGTTTTGGTTGTTGGTTGTGAGTGATTACAGAAAGGAAAAAGTGACAGAAAAAGCATTTACAATATGAGTACTTAATTAACTCTGTAAAATGAGGTTTTCAGGCTGTGGTTTCTAAACTGCAAGTGTGAGCACTACCTTTTAAAGGGTAAAAAAAGAAAACATGCTGTTGGTAATTTCAAATCTCTGGGATAATGTGCTGGAAAATGTTAGTTTTCAAAATAAAAAAAATTAAAAATAGTTGGTATAAATATTCAGATAATGAAAGTATTCTGTAAAAACACTTTAATGAAGATTAAAAGGTCACTTAGGCAATTTAGGTGGGTTGTTTCAGTAATTAGGTGGCTAACTTGGTTTACCTCAGAGTAGTCATTTTATGCTGTGTATAGCAAGAAATCAATAATGTAAAAATTTTGTTACAGTGCATTACAATTAAGTTACAGTTTATAGACCCAGTACTAGTAATACCTTTAGGATGCTAATTCCTGGTTATACCAGATGTTTGATCATGCATTTCATTTGATTGCACTATTTAGCATTGAAAATAACTATTGTCAGTTATGTCAGATTTGACATAAAATACAATACAAATACAGCAGAGGCCAGGGATTACACTCCAGCTTGCTTGAGCCTGATGCTTTTTAATTTGGCTGCAGTTAATCCCAAATGATAACGCTCATATTTTATGCCCAAACTGTTAGTTTGAATGTGCCTGCCAGGTTGAGTTTTCTGCTATGACATCCTTTTTGTGCTGTAATTTTTTTTTAATTTGAGATTCTTTGGTCTCCTTTCATTTATTTCTACTTTTAATAACCCACCCATTTTTGTTATTTTTATTTGTTTCTAGTTTATGCTTTTCTAAATAGCTTCTACATATGTCTAGTATTTTGCATTCAAATGAATGTCTTAATCCCAGTCTAAAACTGCAGTAAGCTTTTATTTAAGCATAATTAGATACTGACTTTTGGATACAAATAGTTTAAGTAGAAAAGTTATGAGATAAGATAGTTAATCAAGTCTATCTACAAAAGTATTCAGTGACTGAGAACACTTTAGTCAATAGTGCTAATACAGTTTTGATAGAATACTTTTCAAGTTTATCTTCTGTTTCAAAAAGATACTCTGCTTGTACGGCTTATAAATTTCATAATGTATTTTTTTATTACAGGGAGAAGAAAATGAAAATTCAGGATATTAAAAACAATATTAAAGAAGCTATAGAGGTAAACATATGAGCTATTGTTTTTATTCAAAGCTACCTATTTAGACACTTTCTGCAAATTTTTTTTTGTTTCTTTGCAGACAATAGTGACAGCAATGGGCAATTTGGCACCTCCAGTTGAACTAGCCAATCCAGAGAACCAGTTTCGAATCGACTACATCTTAAATTTAGCCAACCAGATAGACTTTGATTTCCCACCGGTAAGTAAATAATTTGAGTTGGCTGCCATCATGTTTCTTTGGAAATGATTGTATTTCACTGCACTGTAGTAAATATTTACAAAAAACAGTGAGCTGTTCTTTTGGGAGTTACTACAGTAGGTGTCTTTGGTCAGTGCTAATCAAATGAAGTATATAGCAATGCAGCTAGAGTATTCAGGCTGCTCCTTTTTGAACACAGAGACCCTTGTCTCCCTTCTTGTGCTCTACCGAAATAATCGGCTACAGTTAAGATGGGCGCTGCTGGCAGTAATGTTTGGATATTGTTGGGAATTGCCCTGCCCAGAAGGAATGAAGATGTGCACAGCAGTCTGTTGGTGATTAGCTGGCATTTAGCGATACTGTATTTTTCTCTTTTGGAAGAATAATGGAGTTTTCTTGCTGATTCAGGCATGTTCTCTGACAGCTGTGTCAGCCAGGCTTTCTGCAGAGGCTCCACATGCTATGTCCTTGCCCCAGCCCTCCCAGTCCTAGTTAATCATTCAAAATGCCAGCAGCCCTAGAGTAAATGCAGAAAGTATAATTATTTTTTTGATGGTATAACTTTGTGCCTGCTTGCTGTGATTAATTTCTGCTATATCTCAACCAGGCTAGTAGCCGAAGCCCATGAAAATACAGTTTAAAAACACTGAACTCTAAAACACTGAGAAGATACTAATTACCATGAAGTACCTTGTACATGCAGTAATACAGGAGAGTTTCAAAGGTTGTATTTTCTCTCTGTGCACTGTTCCAGAGGGCTGGGGGTAGGAATTACGATGATATATCAGAATCATGATCCATTTACACCAGAATTTTTTTTTCTAGTAGTAGTAAGTCCCAGGTGTTTGAAAGGAAAGTGCAAGTGCAAATAGCAGTAAGATGTGGGATAGTTTGCACCACAGCAAGGTTTTCGTAACTCTTGATTTATAAACATTATTGAACAAGCTAGTCTGTGAAACCAGTGACAGTTACCTTTTGCAACTGTTGTGGCTTCTGGGAATTTCTCTGCTTTGTCAGCCTTTATTAAAACAAAAAACCAAACAACCAAAACTACATACTTTGTGTACAAGGCAGAAGTCATCTGCTATTAGCAATTAATTGGAAATATTGGCATTGTAATCTTCAGTAATTTTCAAAGTTCAGCAGACACAGGTTGATGGAGATTTTGAGATTTCTAACTTGATACCTCTTTAATTTTGACACTTGTCAGTGTTATCCATAGGAATAGTTGGTCCCTTTGTGGATGATCTCTCCTGCTAAGGGGACAGAAAAATTCATGCTTTGAAGAGAGTTTTAGGAGAATATTCGAGACAAAGACAGCTGCTTCTTACTCCACCCTGTGTGCACTTGATCTGGCTGTGTGCCTGCAGCTCTCCTACTGCCCATTGTCTTGTGATAGTTCAGGTTGGGATCTGTAACAATGCTGTAACAAGTTCCGGTGACCTACCTCGTACTGAAATACTTGATTTTCCTTGTCTCTTCTGTCTCAGAGGTTGTTGGGTTTGGGTTTTTTTTTCCATTCCATTGGAATGCAGTGATTTGGTTTTAATTTTTTTTTTTTCTTTCCCCTGAAATCAAGGGGTAATTGTGTAGTGGTAAGTGAATAAACCAAGTATGTATGTGTTACATTCATTTTTATAGAAAAGCCAGTTAATATTCGCTATGTATCAGCTCTGGTAGAATACATGGTAGCAAGCCCTTGATGTCTAAAGTAATAGAAATATACTTACCTGGTCCATAAATAATTTCAAGTTCATTGAAGAGTCATTGATGTATTGAATGATACACAACTTTAGAAATAACAGTGCTCCAATAAAACTAGTTTTTCCTCTCTGAGCAAGGGTATTGTGTTAAATTTTTAAGCCTTGAGTCTACAGAGGTTTAGGCGTGTGCATAACGTTGACTAGTGGCTAGCTTCATTGGCATGATTAACTATTTCCCATGTAAATGTTTGTAGGGCTGAGGTTTTAAACTGGATATACATTAGCCACTAATTTTGACAAGAGTATTGTTGGCCCTCAGTGATGATATAATCTAGTATGTGTCTGATTTCTGAGTTTGTCTGAATGTAGGTTATAGTCCTTTGGTACCTGAAAAACTGAACCTGCATTTTAATTATGTATTTTAAATCAAGTTAAGATCTAGAATGTCCCTAGATGCCAGCTCTCAGTGCATAGTATCAAAAATACATGATCCTTGAGTACCTCTGTGAAAATAATTTTCACTTTATTATAGATTAATTAAAAGTACTTTGAAGAAACAATAATTTTCTGTAAGTGGAAGGAATAGCCTTATGCTAGTTATGCTTTATGTCTGAGGAAGTCTTGATTATCTACTTTCTCCTCTAGTACTGTGGTGGGAGAATTTCGTAAACTGGCAGCCGAACCTTTTCCTACATAGCATATTCATGCACATGCAAAGGGGAGGGAAATTTTCAGTGATGTTAGCAGCATGTAATGCTGTCTATTTTGAGTTGTAGAACTTGCTTTCTGTCACTTCCATTATCTTCATGGGGAATCATATTTCAGCTGTTACGAAGACGTACTTTCCTCAGTATAGTATTTGATGCTGCTCTTCTCTGCCATAGGAAGGGCGTGAAGGTAGGGAGAAAGAACATTCACGTACCAAGGAGATACTATTTGAGGGCTGCAAGTACTTAGCGCCATACTCTTTTAAAATACAAGGCTGTTTTGCTTTCCCTTAAATGCCCATTGATCTTTTCCTACACATTAATTTGGCGAGCTCTCCAGAAGGCAATGCACAGACCTACAGAGCTTAGCACTAGGATTGTGTGATTTCTTCTCCAACTACAGGAGATCATCTTTAGAACATGAGGCCTCATCCGTATCTGTACACAAAGGAGTATTTTAAATGAAGTTTAAAGTACACACCAGAATTTGTGTTTATAATTCCTGTTTTACAGGTGGAGCTAGAATTCAAGTTTCTTAACAGCAAGGTTCAATGTAATGTGAAAGGCAGAAGAAAGTAAAGGAAGAATGTAGGAGCTTTACGGTGTGATGATAGTATAGGGGTCTGGCTCTACATATCTAGGATTCAAAGAGCAACTTCTGCATTCTGATACTCTAATTCTTTTCTTAGTCAGTGTCTCCATCTGTTTGCTTTGCAGTTTTTGACTTACAGGAAATGTGTGTCATTTGTGTAAAGCGTATTGTATTGAATTAAAAAATGGAGAAAAAAACCAGCTCGAGTTAAAAATAATGTGGGTACAGTGCAATGCTAGGTTAAACATTCCCTTTAAAACAGAAAAATTAGTTTGTTGGAGATTTATTAATTCAGCACACTTGGTGTTAAGCAATTAGATTTCTGGAATGCAAATAGTAGCATATGGGGAAAGGAAAAGGGTAGTACTTACTGAAAGGAATTCTGTCCACATAACCATGCTGATGTTTTAAAGTAGTGCCATATTTGGTAGGTGAAATCTGTAGTTCCTTTTGTAGTCCTTCTATGTCATTTCACCATGCTGTATATACCATTGGCAAGAACCTAGAAGAGTTCCACTCTTACAGCCAATAGTCCAATTTGTCTTGTCTTCGGTGTATTTGCAACAGTTTCTAAAATGCAGATTACAAAAAGAAACCCAACACTACGTGACTGAAGTGAATTGATAAAAGGCTAGGAACATAACCATGTTGAAAACCTGTGGAGAATGCTAGTTAGTGGAATTCTAGGCACAACAACTGTATACTAAGCTCATGTTTTTATGTGAAGTATTTTCTGCCTTAGCTCATTGTGGACTTCTAAAATAGCTTGAGGACGTAGTATCTCCATGGGTAATGCAGTGCTGTTCTGATTTAGTTTTGCAAAATACTTTGCTGCTTTTGGGGGTAAAATCTCTCCTTAGTGTTATTATTAGGCTTGTTGCACAGCCTTTTCTTAGAGCAGAATGACAATAACAGAAGTCTAATCAGGTCCATGTCATCTATTGTTAATATGAATAGCACTGGTAAATATTGTGTGTAGTTATATTTGCAACATTGGGAAACATATTCTTGCTAAAATGACAGGACATTAAATGACTTAAATCTAGGCCTGCTAGTTTAAATGAACACTGAGAATAGCAGGGATCTCCTGCTTTCTGTAGAGAAGTACTGAAAGCAGAACTTCATCTTTTTTCTAAAACACTACAGTACCAATTTTTTATGAAAGATTATCATTTAAGGAGGACCATTATCATTCCCTTTATTCAAGTTGGGTTTTTATCATGCGATTAAATTCTCACTGGCCAGCATGATGACTTTAAGCAAAGGAAAAGGAAGTTGAAGGAAGAAAACCTCCAAGTTAATCAAACTGAACTCAGCTGAGATAGCTGAAGCATTTAATTCCAATAATGGAGCTGATTGTGAATGTGCATTAGTTAAAGCTGCTGGGCTTGTGTTTTAAGATTTATATCATGATAAATATTTTTTTAAAAAGAAGACATTTGTAAGTGATTTAGAAATTATAAAATGAACTATGCTCATCGTTGAAGCTCTCTAATGAAACAAGTAGAAAAGTCGGTTTGCTTGAGCAGTAAATTTGAGAACTTACCCAAGTTTGTGCTAGAACTGCTTTTTTAGTTATCTCGCACTAGCTAAATTTTGTATGAGTAAATTTTACTCTTTAATTTTATGTGTAGCCGGGTTAACACATGTTTTATGTGTGGTGTGTAAAAACAAAGACCTCAACATTTCAGGCTGTTTTTACAACTACTCTATCAGTTAAAATGGAAAATAAATGCTGCTCGTAGTTGAGGCTTCCAAATGGCATTTCTATCACTAATGTCCTTTGATGTGTTTAGCTCGACACAATTGTATGTATATGTTTTCAATGTCAAAAATCAAGCTCATAAGTATTTTCAATAATTCTGACTAACTGTGGATCTGTTTCAAATATAGGGTGATGTTGGGTTAGCTGGGTTATAGAGGTGATATTTTTATTCCTGTTCTGCATACCAGACAGTGGTTAAGATATTTTCTCCATCCCTACTCCCAGCTAGAATA